CAATTATGTAGTGTGTTGTAATGTATGTATTTTGTTCAATTTTCTTTTTAAAAAGTAGTATTTTCGTAACCCTGGAACCTATCTTCGATCTTTACATGGTTTGCTATAGAAAATCTTAATTCACTTTGCGTCGTTTCAATTTGCGTCGTGTTTTTTTGGAACGTAACCACGACACAAAGTGAGGTATTGGTGTATAGTCAAAGCTAACACCTAACTTAGTTCGTTAGCAGTGCTCCAAAAACATCTTCATTCATCCAATAAAATCCTACAAAACATGTTATGATTGAAAATCACATATACCATGTTTTGCTATAAAATCACTGCGTAACAGCGATCCTATATTTTCTATTGTACCCCCAGACCGATTTTTTGTCGAGAAATTCCCTTGTACCGGGAGAGTTTTGATCGATGATGAGAGATAGAAAATCCGATAGGTGTTATCCTCGTTTCCCGTCGGATCCGCCTCTGCGGGAATGAAACTTTAATTCCTGTTCATTTCATGAGAACTACTCGAGACAACCCGATTGTCCATTAGCGAGCATTTATCACTATTCCTTTCAGCAATAAAACAAACCGTTGCCAGATACCAAATTCCAACGTGTACTCAGTAATTCTTCATATAAAGGGCGGCCTTTTATTTGAAACGAAACTTGCGGAGTCTCTCGATTTCGAAAACCCGAGGGCGGTTTCTCTTGTCGCAGTTATAACGAAATCACGTACCCACGGGACTGTAGGTTATGTTAGGTTGGGTTGTAGATATTCCGTGCCTTGCTTTGCTATTCGAAACGTTCCCGAGGGGAACTATGTGAAACTACAGCCGACCGGTGTTTATAGAAAAAAGTTCGTCGAGAACTTTTAGTTAGTATATTAAATATTACATTGCACGGTTTAATTGGTCGACTATCAGCGATCGTTTCCATATCACTTTTTTTTTGCAAATTTGCTTTGCGTCGCTTTGCCTGCCTCGCGTTTTTCAGAATCTCCATTGAAAGGAAAGTGAACAAGTATGGAAAAAAAATAAAACTGCGGAACGTGACAAATAGAAAGTTGTAAAATGTCGGTGGGATCCTCGTTAAAATCGATTGCAGGCTAGTTTACAACTGAGATATGCGCGTGCAAGCTGTATGGCGATGGAATCTCGGTGCTTTCGTAGCCGTGCCCTCGGGCTATTCACCGAAGGAAAAAGAGGACGGTTTTCCATTTGGTTGGGAAATAACCGTGATAGTCGTGCCAAATATTTCTCTAGGAACAGGAGAAACACAGAGCTCCCTCGTGTGATATCGAATAAACTCCCTCATTGATCCCCAGATATCATTTCAATTTAATAACGCCTACGCGGAAACTTGAGCGTCGTAACTATAAACTCAGTTATCGTTTAGCCAATGTGTAGTCCGTCGACTGATTCATTCGATTACATTTGTTATGCTTCTGTTGGAATTCGATCGTAATTTCATTTATTGGGAATTGTGATAACATCGAAATTTTTGAGAAATTTTTAATTAAGAAAAGCAGATTCCATACGATCACACATTATGCACTTGTATTTACTATACTCGGTTCGAAATTCCATAATTGGTTAATTAGGTACAAAGGAGTAACGTGAATGAGCGAACCTCTTGTTGGAATAATTAAAACGATAGTAGTTTACAATTTCCATTCGAAATTTGCAGCTCGCATCTGTTTTCATACACGTGTTTTACTTGTCGAAGAGGAAATTTCGAAATTCGCATTCAACGTTCCGATCAAACGGCGGAATTTTCCATCCACGATTAAATTCAAACATTCGGTATGCTCACGAAAATCAGTGGCCCAGTTACTAATTCCATTTCCGGGTTAAATAGCTGCGGACTTTATTTAACGCGAACATTACATACTCGGTTTCGCAACGATCGATGTGGCGCCACTGCGAAGAATTGATCCTTGGATTTATTTGAGTCGCTTCCGGTACGCTTGGCCTCGTGTACAGTTTCGCTATTATAGAACTGCCTGATAATAATTCGAAGAGAGAATAGGATTAGCCTGCCGGGGATTAGGTGGGCCGGTTTATTTTCGAAATTAATGCGTAAACCCTGTAAATCGTCGGTACACGTGAACCGTTTAGTATTATTTAGATATTTTCAAACGGAATTGAAATAGAATTCTCTTAGAAGATTTATTCACAAAATTCTGCAATGTGTTGATTATTGTTGAGGCACATTTGAAATTCCTTTCACGCAATTTTACATTTTGTTAAATCTTCTGTTCCAATATAATTGTAGATATTAAAATATGCTTGAAACTATAATACAGNTATTTCACGAGAAGGTATTTTATTCTTTTAGGAAGACATCGACTTCAGTAAGCCAATCAGTCTGAACATTCAGGATCACGCCCGGAAGATAAAGGCTAGCCAGTGCGACAATGGGACAATTTCATCAAGTGGTTAGTATCATCTTCCATCAAACAGCTTCTATAAAATCTGAAATAAAAGTACAGTGGTACCTCGGTTAACGACGGACCCATGCAACGACACACTTGATTAACAACAAGTGACTATAAAAAAGAAATTGGATGGTTAATATTAGAGAACTGTTGACCTTCTTTTTATGTAAGTGTGGACTTCTCTATTCTATTCAAAGCTAGTAATTTCGGCTGGTCTTGTAGTTCCAGTGTTAATGACAGACGCTTCGGTCAAATTACGTTTTTTTATTACTCATGATACAACATATAAACGTATCGTATACATGGTGTCATATATGTAGGGTATACTATAGGGTATACAATGAGATCACGCAGCGTAGGGCCCGCACTCAGTCGCTAGAGTGTTGGCTGGGATCGTGACGCTCGGCATTGGCTAAGCGCGGCCAGCACGTGCTCTCATTGGTCAGTGTTTTTCGTTAATAATTTAAAAACCATGCCTCAGTTTGCATTTTGGCAAACGAAATTATTGTTCAAAAACACCTCCAGAATCACTCCTTATCGGCTCTAACAGCTTTTCTGGTGCACCCTGTATGATTGTTAGTCGAACAGACAACAGCCACACACTTTGGATAGCGACGGTTTTGATTAACGACTGTAATCCTCTTAAGCATTCGTTTATCAAATCCTAGAATGGATTACCCTGGTTAACGAAGACACCATTGTATTATAAAAACTTTAATACAAACGTGCAAATCATTCTTTGTGTATTGTGTTCCTGTTTTCTTGCTTATGTAATCTTCTTATCATTGATTAAACACTTTTTACTCGTTAATCAAATCCTGGAATCGATTTAAAATAAAAATATTAATGAAACGTGTAAATCAGTGTATGTGTATTGCTTTCCTGATTTCTTGTGTATTTAAGGTTGTTGAGGGAGTAGATTAGATTAGGTTATTGATTTATTGAAACGACGCTTGGGTCCCATAGGTTAGATTAAGTTACTGATTTATTGAAACGAGCCGCTAGAGTGTTGTCGTGACGCTCGGCATTGGCTAAGCGCGTCCAGCGCGTGCTGTTATTGGTCAGTGTTTTTCGTTAATAATTTAAAAACCATGCCTCATTTAGCATTTAGCCAAAGAAAAGTGCTATTCAAAACCACACATAGAAATACAGCTTTTCGTCTCTAACACTTTTTCTGGGACCCCTGTATATAGAAACTTTAATAAAACGTATAAATCATTCAAGATAAATTTTTTTTTCCTCTTTCTTTGCTTATTAAGTGTTCTTGTCGTCGATAAAAAATCTTTTATCAGAGCACTCAACTTGCTTCCTATGTATTTATTTTCTGAACTGTTGGAAGAGTTGAACTGGAGAGATCCTAACGAACGCGCGCGAATACTGCGTAGCGAATTAATTAAGGGAAACTATAGTAAACAGGGTCTGGGAAGTTAGAAGTTCGAACGACTTGACGATTAAATCGAGAAACCGTTACGGGGAGTTTAACACCTTAATTCTGTTCTGCTGCGTCCAGTTCTGTATACCTACGATTCGGCATACGATCCCTTCAAACCCTGTTAACAGTTGCCATTTTGAAACTTAGACTCTGTAATTATTATACGGTACACATGATGTAATAT